ATCCTACTACTTCCTCAAGCTCATTGTCTTTTTTATTGGGGGTACAAGGCTCGTGCTTTCAACTTGTATTCAGAGGCCCTCGAACCCTATTGGACTCTATTACAATGATTAACCACCTACCACCCACTACCTTTTATACCCTCTACAACATTTTTTGAAAAGAAATGACCAGTTATCCAACATCGTCGCCACTGTCAAATATTGACACATGGTATGACCTTCTTGACACTTAGAGGTGGTGGTGCTAGAGATTGTGTTGATATATGATAACTAAATGATGTCTAACTTAGATGTCACGAGGATAGGTTACATGGACAATAATTCTAAAGTGTGCTTATCCTTCATTGAAAATAATGATGAAAGTGAGGTTGTCATCATTAGTAATATGCAACAATGCAGGTTTAATATAGTCTACGATGTAGGGAACTTGGGACTCATTATTATAGCTAGTGATGGATCGATCGAGTTGATTAAGTTAGATGCAATTTGTTAATGTATCTAGATTGAATGGGTTCTTTGATGTTGATTATAAAATTGGGCCATGTAGGATAATAAATATAGTCATGAAAAATAGATTTTAGTTGTATCCAAATTTGATAAAATAATTAAATACCAAATGAATGAAAATTTATATGAGTTTATGAAAACCTTTAAGATGTGCTTAATTTCTTTATAATTAAAGGGAATGATGAAATTAATTGTTGGAGGGTAGAATTTTTCATTATTAGAGGTTTGCACAATGGGTAGAATTGTTCATTAGCTGAAGTCTTCGAATCTTTCCTTTATGTACTTAGATGTTTGAAAATATTTGAGAGTTTATATTAGGAAGGAGTTGCCACAATATGAATTAAAAGAAAATTGAGTTGGGTCTGAAAACATCAAGTATAGATATTTATTCAATTAACTATATCTCTAAAAAATATTTATAGAACACTAGAAGGTTTGTACAATGAAACATATTCGATGTTTAGAGTTATAATTGATATGCTATTTGATAGTTTAGGACATTTAAAATATGTATTCTTTTGTTTTCATTCTTTCATTTTAGGCTTTAAAGTTGTATATTGCCCAAAGCTAACCCTCAATGTAACATTTCTTAAAGCTAGATGATATGGCACTTTACTTGAAGTTGTGGCTAAAGTTTCTAATATATATATTAACTAAATAACATTTACAAATGATTCATAAATAATAAATCATGGTTGTAATTTATTATTAGATTAAATTAATCAACAATCTTGATAGAAAAATTTGTTTTATTTCATGTTGACATAAACATATAATCCATGCCTTATGTATAAAATTTCTAACTGATCATCATGGATCTTATACTTTTTTACTTTATAATAAATATCAAAACAAAATTTTAAACAAATATCTATTATGAAAAATATAAGTTGACATTTAAAATTTATAATGAACTAGCAAAATATATGTTTTGTATATCTAATATACTTTTGGAGAGAGTGGAAAGTTCTTGGGAAGATCCCTTTATGTTATTAAGTAAAATTTTTAAGATTATGTGGATAAAAATATTTTAGCAATGTATATGTAGATCATCATTTCTTAAGTGTGATATGTATATTGGAAATCAGAGCAAGAAAATGTTCCAAAATCACATGCTGACATGCAGATCAAGTAAAGTTAGATATTTGAGGAGTTACAAAACATGGGAGAGCAGTTACATTCATAGAAATCTATCAACATAAAAAAAGGAGAAAGACAGTTATTGTATATATGTGTTTGTAAATTTTATGTTGAGTTTTTATTATGTAAGAACTAGATGTTTGTCATAGAAGTATTTGAACATTTTCTTTTAAATTAATGTGTAAATAAATTAGCTTTAATATTCTTATGCAACCTTAATATGTGATTGTAGAAATGTTGAAATTAACTATTTTGATTGATTGCTATTGTAGAAAAGTTATGTTGTAAAATAAGTGAGGCAAGATTTTTTTTAGTTGTGCTATAGGCTTTTGATACAAGTATTTGAACATTTTCTTTTAATTTAATGTGTAATTAAATTAGCTTTAATATTCTTGTGCAACCTTAATATGTGATTGTGGAAATGTTGAAATTAACTATTTTGATTAATTGCTATTGTAGAAAAGTTATGTTGTAAAATAAGTGAGGCAAGATTTTTTTTAGTTGTGCTATAGGCTTTTGATGGATTCCCGGTGAAAAAACCATAGAAAATTGTTAAGATAGTTGCTATTTGAATGCTTTACATTTTTGCAAATTATGTAGTTTTGATGACTCCAAACATTATTGTTCAAATGTGTAATTATCTCCTAACAATTTTAGAAGATTTGTATTTGCTCTTGTGTGTACTTCTAAAATTTTTGGTTGGTCATAAAAAATTTGAACAAATATTACCAGCAAAATTATGATGGATAGCTATGTTTCCAATTCTAGAGGAAAAATTAGCCAGCATTACAAGAAGAATATTAGTAGGTAACAAAGCTCAAAAATGCGACATTTTACTTGGAAAAGCAATCTGCCATAAAGCTATTTTTTCTGATGAATTTAGTTTTTTTTTTTTATGGAAAAGGGCCACCAAAAATAGGAATTTTTTCTATTGTGAAAATTTATTTGTTTTGAATGAATCTACATACAAATTTCAACATATAAGACTATCATCATCTACTATAAGCAATTTTGACACTTTGACTACAAGGGAAAGAATCAACATCAAGAGACTACTTGACAACTCCAATCATGTAAATCAGAACAACAAAGGGATTAAGATCACCCTCCTCATTCACCTCAGTATTCTAAGCATCAACATCAACCTTTTAATTACACCCATTGAATACATTCATAGAAATAATTTCATCAAAATCCACAAAATCAACAACTCAGATGATTAAAGATGTTAAGAACTCGAATAATGAAGGCTAATCTTCATAATATAATTTTTAATCATTTTGTTTGGCAATTATTAGAAAACTATTCATCTTAATGAAAAAATTGAACACAAGATTCCACACAGATATTTGAGCATGCACTTCCAAGACCAATTTTACAATATCCACCATCAAGATGGAGGGAATCATAAAAGCTAGGAATGAAGTTACAAGTGTTGTGAAAACTATTATGAGATATCAACTTTTTTTATCCTTTCTCTAGTTTTTGAACAAACATGAAAAGATACTTAAATTATATTTGATGTTAATGAATTTGTAGTAATATGATACACATATTAAGATTCTCACATCATCTTAGATAGAATAGAGGTTTTTCAAACTTATAATTTAAATATTTTAATTGAAGAATATAATTATGTGGACATAATAACCCTCCTTGTGAATCTTTATATGTCTTGAAAAGACATGTGGTAAGCTTCATTGTCA